GTAATGCCAACGCCACGGGTCAATCTGATTGTTGCGTTTTGACGGTCCAGAATCGTGCCAGAACGCAGCTCCTAGGATTTCAATACAAAGAATCAACGTAATTGTTGCACCCGCGTAATCCTGAATCTTTCCAAAACACCATGTCTGGTACGTTGGTGATGGGAACCGTGAAACTCTTGCATATTTTAAACAAATGCGCGCGGCGCTAAGGCGAGAGCCACCTTTTGAAAATGAATCGCCTTCAATTCGTGAAACTCTTACAACAGTTTAAAACGAATGCGCACCGCGCGAAGGCGACAGGCACATGTTGAAAACTATTCGCTTTCAATACATGAAACTCTTGCAATTGTTTAAAACGAACTTGCGCCGCGCTAAGGCGAGAACCACATTTTGAAAACAACCCGCCTTCAATCCGTGAAACGCTTGCAAATGGTTAAGACGAATGTGCGCCGCGCTAAGGCGAGAGCCACATTTTGAAAACTACCCGCCCTCAATCCGTGGAGCTCTTACAATTTGTTAGAACCAATGTGCGCCGCGCTAAGGCGGGAGCCACATGTTGAAAACCACCCGCCCTCCATTAGTGAAACGGTTGCCAGCTTTAATGCTTCAGAGTCATAAATGGTGAGGAAGTCTCGGGCGAAACGCCCGGCCCGCCCTAAAAATTGGCCTCGGGGTGCGGCAGGGAGAAATTATGTATAAGGGAAAGGAATGGAGGAGGAGGAGGAGGAGGAGGAGGAGGAGGAGGAGGAGGAGGGGAGGAGGAAGAGGAGGGAGGAGGAGGAGGAGGAGGAGGGAGGAGGAGGAGGAGGAGGAGGAGGAGGAGGAGGAGAGGGGAGGAGGAAGAGGAGGAGGAGGAGGAGGAGGAGGAGGAGGAGGAGGAGGAGGAGGAGGAGGAGGAGGGAGGAGGAGGGGGAGGAGGGTAGGGGGGGGGAGGGAGGGGGAGGGGGAGGGGGGGGGAGGGGGAGGGGGAGGGGGGGAGGTGGAGGGGGAGGGGGAAGAGGAGGAGGAGGGAGGAGGGAGGATGGAGGAGGGGGACGGAGGGTGGAGGGAGAAGGGAGGAGGGATGATGATGTTGATGATGATGATGATGATGATGAGGAGGAGGAGGAGGAGAATCAGGAGGAGGAGGAGGAGGAGGGAGGATGAAAAAGGAGGAGGGAGAGGCGTCACCGTCGCTCTCACCTCCTCGCACCTCCTGCCACTTCCTCGCACCTCCCCGCCCGCCGCGATGATGTCGCTGATTCTGAATGGTAGTGGTGGTGATGACTCTAATGACGATGTCGTCGATGATGACGATGATGATTACGATGATGATGGCAATGCTGATGATGATGCCGATTCGGATCATGATGCTCAGTTTGGTGATGATGATGCTGTTCATGATGATCGTGATGATGATGGTGACGATGGTGATGATGATGATGATGATGATGATGCCGCTGCTGCTGCTGCTGATGACGATACTGGTGATGCCGGTGGTGACGATAAAAACAACGACAGCGATGATAACGGTGATGGTGATGCTAATAATGATGATACTGCTAATAATAATAATCAGAATAATAACAATTATGATGCTGATGATGATGATGATGTTGCTGCTGCTGCTGCTGGGCAGCTCTAGTAGGCTTCTATGAGAGCTGGACGCAGCTCTAGTAGGACTCTATTAGAGCTGGATGCAGCTCTAGTAGGATGCTATGACAGCTGGACGCAGCTCCCAAGTAGGATCCCATGAGAACTGGACGCAGCTCCTAATAGGATTCTATGAGAGCTGGACGCAGCTATCGTAGGATGTTATGAGAGCTGGGTGCAGCTCTGGCGGGATTCTATGAGAGCTGGACGCAGCTCTGGTAGGATTCGGATTTTATGAGAGCTGAACGCAGCTCTAGTAGGATCCGATCTGAGCTGGACGCAGCTCTAGTCGGCTTCTATGAGAGCTGGACGCAGCTCTGGTAGGATTCTATGAGTGCTGGACCCAGCTCTAGTAGGATCCAATAAGAGTTGGACGCAGCTCTAGTCGGGTTCTATGAGAGCTGGACGCAGCCCTGGTAGGATTCTATGAGTGCTGGACGCGGCTCCTAATGAAAGCTGGGCGCGCAGCCCCCAAGTAGGATTTTATGAGAGCTGGACGCAGTTCCTACTAGAATTCTATGAGAGCTAGACGCGTTTCTAGTCGGAATATTTGGGGGCTGGGCGCGGCTCTGACATTTGTTTAATGAGAGCTGGGCGCAGCTCCTAGCAGGATTCTGTGAGAGCTGGACGCATCTCTCGTCTACAAGTGAGAGCTGGACGCAGCTCTAGTACGGTTCTATGAGAGCTGCACGTACCTCCTAGTAGGATGGCATTAGGTCTGGACGCAGCTTTAGTATGATTCTATGAGAGCTGGATGCAGCTCTAGTAGGATTCTATGAGAGCTGGACGCAGCTTGGTGGGATTCTATGAGAGCGGGACGCAGCCCCGTTAGGATTCTAATGGATCTGGACGCAGCGTTGGTTAGATTTTATGAGAGCTGGACGCAGCTTGTAGTAGGATTCTAATGAGAGCTGGGCGCAGCTCTAGTAGGATTCTATCAGGGCTGAGCGCAGCTCCTAGAAGCATGCTCTGAGAGCTGGACGCCGCCCTCGTCGGACTCTATGAGGATGGGACGCGGCTCTAGTAGGATACGATTGGATCTGGACGCAGTCCTAGCAGGATTCTATGAGAGCTGGGCGCAGCTCTAGTATGATGATAGTAGATCTGGGCGCAGCACTAATAGGATTCTCTTAGAGCTGGACGCAGCTCTAGTAGGATTCTGGACGCAGCTCTGGTAGGCTTCTGTGAGAGCTGGACGCAGCTCTAATTGGATTCTATGAGAACTGGACGCAGCTCTAGTAGGATTTTCTTAGAGCTGGGCGCAGCTTTATTGGGATCCGATGAGAGCTGGACGCAGCTCTAGTAGGATTCTAGCAGAGCTGGACGCAGCTCCAGTAGGATTCTATGAGGGCTGGACGCAGCTCTCGTAGGATGTTATGAGAGCTGGGTGCAGCTCTAGCGGGATTCTATGAGAGCTGGACGCAGCTTTAATACGATTCTATAAGAGCTGGACGCAGCTCGGGTATGTTTCTATTTGATCTGGACGAAGCTCTGGTGGGATTCCTTCAGAGCTGGACGCTGCTCCTACTAGGATTCTATGCAAGCTGGACGCTGCCCCAGTAGGATTCTATTGGATCTGGACGCAGCCCTGGTGGGATGATGAGAGCTGGACGCAGCTCGAGTGGGATTCTATGAGAGCAAGGCGCAGCTTTATTGGGACTCTATGAGAGCTGGACGCAGCTGTAATACGATTATATGAGAGCTGGGCGCAGGTCTAGTAGGACTTTGTTGTGGTGGACGCAGCTCTGATAGGCTTTGATGAGAGCTGGACGCAGCCCTAGCAGGATTTTATGCGAACTGGGCGCAGCTCTAGTAGGATTCTATGAGAGCTGGACGCAGCTACCCAGTAGGATTATATGAGAGCTGGACGCACCTCCTAGTAGGATTCTATGAGAGCTGGACGCAACCCTAGTAGGATTCTATCAGAGCTGGACACAGCTCCAGTAGGATTCTATGAGAGCTGGACGCAGCTCTAGTAGGGTTGTTCGACTAGACCTGGATGCAGCTCGAATGGGACTCTATTAGAGCTGGACGCAGCTCCTACTAGAATTCTACGAGATCTGGACGCAGCTTTAGGATTCTATGGGGGCTGGACGCAGCTCCTAGTAGGATTCTATGAGAGCTGGACGCAGCCCTGCTAGGATTCAATTCGATTTGGACGCAGCTATACCAGGATTTTGTTCGAACTGGACGCAGCATTGGTAGGATTTTCTGAGAGTTGGACGCAGTTCTACTAGGATTGCCTCAGAGTTGGATACAACTTTAATAGGATTCTATTGGATCTGGACGCAGCTCTGGTAGGATTCTATGGGAGCTGGACGCAGCCCTGGCAGGATTCTAGTAGAGCTGGACGCAGCTGCAATAGGCTTCTATGAGAGCTGGACGCAGCTCAGGTAGGATTCCATGTAGAGTTGGACGCAGCCTTAGCTGGATGCTAGTAGAGCTGGACGAAGCTCTAGCAGGATTCTATGAGAGCTGGACGCAGCTCTAGTAGTATTCTGTGAGAGCTGGACGCATTTCAAGCAGGTTTCTAGTAGAGCTGGATGCAAGTCAAATAGGTATCCATTAGAACTGGACGCAGTTCTCGTAGAAGTCGGATAGGTTTGCTGTAGGAGCTTGCTTCGCTGGCGCGCACATCCATGTTCTGATGAGAAGTGATTCGGGAACTCGAGTTGGAAATTCGTATTGATTTATTTCGATTAGCTTGTGGTAGTGCTGGTTGCGCGGTTGCGGTTGCGACCCCACCCCCCCTCGCAATTGGGAACCAGGGTACTAGAAACCCGTCCTCGCAGGCAGGGGAGGCTGGGGATCTGGCACCCTGCCCCCCAGGGTACCAGAATCCCCCCGCCACTTCGCCTTGTTGTTGTAGTGGGGCCCAACAGCACAGTTTCAGCACGAATGGCTCTCCTGATGCGAAAAACAGGGTGCGAGCCCCCATGGGAGGGCATTCCACGTGAAAAAAAACGCAACGTGCACCGGTGTGGGGAGGCCAACGGTTGTTCTTCAAGAGTGCGAGCTCAACAGCAACACGTCGTGCCCTGCAGGAGTCCAGCCTGCGGCGCCAGAGCGCACCCGCGCGTTCGACGCAGTCTTCGTTTTGACACGCCCTTCGGACTCCTATCGTGCCCCGCGTGTGGCCCGAACAACGGCGCCAAGGAGGGGAGGTGGAGGATAGGGAGAGCAAGGACGACGGGGATGAGGAACAGGAGACGCAGGAAGGAAGAGGCCGAGGCGTTTGAGGACGAGGTGTGGGAATAGCGTATGAGGAGAGGAAGGAGGAAGAGGAAGCTCTTGTCCCCGTTCCTTCAAAACAGAAGAATACATATATGACGTCTGCGGGTGGCATGAGTACGTCCTTCTCCTACTGGAGCAAATTTACCTCAAGCGTTCACGCGGCTCAGGGATTTCATCAAATATCTCTGTACAGACAGTCGCTGGTAAAATATGCCGATGCCTTTGATGGACAAGTTGGGCGTTCTGGCGGGTCCTTTGATGGACAAGGTGGGGGCGTTGTCCTACTGGGAGAAGTGGAATTTGGTGTGGCTTGCCGCAAACTTCTACATCCATTTCGGCTGGGAGATGAGCCTTCTGGGGTTCTTCGATTATGCAGAGTGGGCGAGAGGCTTCAAGCCATGGAACATCTTCTGCGCATGCTTCGACTCATATGGCAACTTCGACAGGCGCTACAAGCTCAAGCCGCCCGCAGACCACCATGGCACGAAGACGAGCATCGACAAAGTGGTGCTCGCTGTGGAGGTCCCTGCAGGCATCATCGACGGCGCCCTCTGCTGCCTCTGGCTCAAGGCGATCTTAGACAACGCTTGGTACCGCCTGCCCACCCAGCTGACCGTCAGTGCGCTGCATGCCTTCGGCACGGTGGTCTTCTGGGCTGACGAGCTTGTGCCAGGATACATGAACTGGTTCAAGGGCAAGGGGTGGAAGTGGACGCACACCGATGGGCCAAAGAGCATCCATTGGTGGTGGGCCTTCGTTGGCAGCAATGCCGTCTGGGTCGTCATACCATTGATGTACTGCAAGAGCGCGATCGACGGCATGAGGCCTGCACTGATGAAGGCATGAGGCGCTGCCGTCGGCGCCCCAACGAGCCCCTTGCCGCTGCTCGTTGTCGTCGGACAGCTGGTTCACACAGTCAGTCGGGCGTCATCCGCTGGGGATCGACGTGGGGATCAGTGGCCCAATGCGGCCTCTGATCGCTAGTGTTGAGCTCATCGCCAGCCGGGCCACACCTCCATAGCCTTGGGGCAACGAGTGGCTCGGGGAGCAAGGACCGCGCACGTTTTTACAAGACCGCGCGGTGGCCGTACGGCAGGTTCGTGTCGCGCCGACTCCGCAACGAGTTTGGACGCCGACAGCGGCCAATTGTCCAGCAATGAACGATCTGCGCTTTCGGAGAGCCGCGATCGTTCCAAAGTTGAATAACACACGCGGTATCAGAAGCCAACGCCGAAATGGTCACAGCACGAACCTGCCGTACAATACTCTTGCTGAGTCGCTGCTCCGCTTTTCAGAGCGCGGGGGTCCCGTCGGCGCGACGTGGACAAAAGAGTGCTTCCTTTACACTGCCCGTCCCTCGCCTCGCACGAGGGGCGCCGCCACAAATGAATCGCCGACGCCTGCCCTCACCCGGATGAGCCGATGTTCCACCACCGTTACAGGCAGGTAGGGCGAGGGGGAGGGGAGGATGGAGAGGTCCTTCTCCGACTCCGATTCCGACTCCGACTCCGACTCCGATTCCTCCCCCTTCTCCTCCTCCTCTTCCTCCTTCCCCTCCTCTTCCTCCTCCTCCTCTTCCTCCTCCCCCTCCTCCTCCTCTTCTTCCCGCTCCTCCCCCTCCTACCTCTGGCAGTGGTGGTGGAGAATCGGCCCATCACACCCTCCCACTCCTCCCCTCACTCCTGGCTGGTCCTCTCCCCCGTTCTCAGGCGAGAGGAGCAGCGAGGAGAAGCAAGAGGGCAAGGACAGAGAGGCCCGGTCAAACCACATGTGTTGGCACGAAAAAGTGCGAGGCCACAGCGCAGTGGCTTGAACGGAAACGCGTGCAACGGAGAGCAAACGTTGTGCCTCCGAAGGGGAGGGGAGGAGAGAGGAGGAGAGCGGGGGCGGTCCTCACGCGTGAAGGCAATACTCGACGAATGCAATACTCGACGAAGAAGGCAAGCAGAGGGGACGAAAGATTCCCGGGGCTACGAAATCCGAGGCATGCAGCTGGTTTCGGCCCCGCCGCCAGGCGCTCTCCTCGATCCCTCGGCGCCGCTGGCGCTTGGCAGGCCCCGGGAGAACCAGCCGCGTGCAGCGGATTCGTTACGGTGGAAGCCCATGCCAAGAAACACCCAGCTCGCTTCCAGGGTGCCCTGGGTTTCGTGGGTTGCGATGGTTTTGCTATGGAAGGCGTGGCGTTCGCATACCAACAATCCATGGACGCCCTGGGGTCTCAGGGTTGGGTTTCTCGTGGGAGGTTTCTCGTGGTCGAGCTCCCACTGCAAGCCCCCCCGCTTGCCCCTTGCTGTCCCCCCCGTGCGTCCTCCCGTTGTTCCTCCCCTCCTCGTCTACCCTGTTCTCACCCCTTGACGGCGCCCCCTCCCCGAGGATGTGCCTCCGATCAAGGCGCCTTGGCTCTTCGTTGTGCCACTGCCTCCTCCTCCTCCTCCTCCCTCCTCCTCTCCTCCTCCCCCTCCTCCCCTCCTCCTCCTCCTCCTCCTCCTCCTCCTCCTCCTCCTCCTCCTCCTCCTCCTCCTCCCCCCCCTCCCTACCGAGTCCTCTCGTCCTCTGAAGGCGTCCTCTGGGTATTCCGCCCTGGAGCGCTCTTCGCTTTGAATATCTCGGTGGTCAGCAGACGGAGAACGGTACAAGGGTCCCTCCTCCCCACCTGGCAGGACTGGCTGCCTCGGCGCAGTGCCAGCGTGGAACAAGTATCGTCGCCGTCCTGGTCCGGGGGCTTGAAAAGCAAACGTTTCCGCCACCAGGGACGCCTGTCCCAGGGCGGTTGGGAAGTTTGCGCCCTTGGGGTGGCGCGTAGAGCCGCCCTGAGGGGCAGACAGCCCCGACCGCGGAGCGCACCTGCTTTGCAGCGCTCGTGCCTCGCCCGCTGGGACGGGGCCTTGAGAGCTCGGTGACGGGGCTTCTGCTCTTGGCGATCGTTTTCTTCCCCATATCCTAAGATGGGGTTCGTGTTACTACTTGGACGCCTCCTACTCCTCCTTCTCCTCCCTCCTCCTCTTTTCTCCTCCCCTCCTGTCGGACTTACTCATACTCACACTTGCTCATACACAGACTTACTCATACTACTCACACCCAGACGTACTCATACACAGACTCACTCATACCCAGACTTACTCATACACAGTATTAGTCATACTCAGACTTACTCATACCCAGACGTACACATACACAGACTTTCTCATACACAGACCTACTCATACCCAGACTTACTCATACACAGACTTACTCATACACAGACTTACTCATACTCAGCACCCCTAAGGGGAGCCGCCAGGGGTGGTTGCACGGGCTCGTTCGCGGCCATTTTGTGGGGATGTCTCAGGCGGTTTGCTTGTTTCTGGGCCCAACATCCTTCGCTTGGAGAGCAGATTGTGAGGATGTCTCAGGCGGGGCGCTGGTTTCAGCACCCCTAAGGGGAGCCGCCAGGGGTGGTTGCACGGGCTCGTTCGCGGCCATTTTGTGGGGATGTCTCAGGCGGTTTGCTTGTTTCTGGGCCCAACATCCTTCGCTTGGGAGCAGATTGTGAGGATGTCTCGAGCGGGGCGCTGGTTTCAGCACCCCTAAGGGGAGCCGCCAGGGGTGGTTGCACGGGCTCGTTCGCGGCCATTTTGTGGGGATGTCTCAGGCGGTTTGCTTGTTTCTGGGCCCAACATCCTTCGCTTTCGGAGCAGATTTGGAGGATGTCTCGAGCGAGGCGCTCATTTTCACCCCCCAGGTGGGCCAGATTTTGAGGATGTCTCGATCGGTTTGCTTGTTTTGGTGGCCAGGCTCGTGGGCGCAGATTCTTCTCAGGATGCCACAGGAGGCTCCAACAGGCTCCAGGAGGCCCCAGGAGACCACATGAGGTCCCAGGAGGCATCAGGAGGCCACAGAAAGACTCAAGAGGCCACAGGATGTCCCAAGAGGCTCCAGGAGGCCCCAGGAAGCTCCAGAAGGCCTCAGGAAACCACAGGAGGCCCCAGGAGGCAACAGGAAGCGCCAGGAGGCCTCGGAAGGCAACAGGAGGCCCCGAGAGGCCCCAGGAGCAGGAGGCCTCAGAAGGCAACAGGAGTGGCTCCAATCCCATGTGTTTTACGTATGCTCCTATCGATTGGGCCTCACCTGGAGCACGATTCTTTGATGTTCTACGTATGTTTCTATAGATGGTCCTTCTCCTGTGTACACAATCCTAAATGTTTTACTCATGTTCCTATGTATTGGGCCTCTCCTGGGGCACGGGTCCTTGGTGTTTTACGCGTGTTCCTATAGATTGCCCTTCTCCTGTGGCTCTAATCCCATTTTGGCTCAAGCGTTCGCATGCCGCGCCGCCTCGGCCTCCCGCCTCGGGATGGCTGGCCTGCGCGCGGCTAGAGGGGCTGGCACGGCCGCCGACGACCTCGCGTTGCTGGTGCGCGCGGCGGTCCGCGGCGCTGTGGACGGCGGCGCGCCGCGCCGCACGGTCGCCGCAGTGGCGCGTTCTGCAGTCTCGGCCGCCGCGTTCGCGGCGCGGCCGACGACGCAAGCGCACGCTGCAGACGGCCGACGTGACGATCATGCTGCTGATGCCGTTGGCGATGCCTCTCGCCCAGCTGGTGCCTCCGCGGAGGCGAAGCGGGCGCGGCGTCGGCGCCGCCGCGCGGCGCGCGCGGCTCGCAAGCAGCAGGAAATCACCGACGGCGACGTGACGACGGCTGGTGCTGGCAGTACTGGTGCGGGCCTGGAGCTCGCCCTGCTGCCCACGGCGATGGCGGTCGACGGCGCCGACGACGAAGACCTCGCCTCGTTGGTCGACGACTCCTGGGCTGACAGCCTGCCTGTCGGCGGGCGGCGGCGGCCTGGGCGGGGGCGCGAGGGCAGGTGGGTCGCGGAGGCGGTGGCTGCTGGCGCGGGCGGCACGGGCTCTGGCTTGGCCGCCGCGGCGGCCGCTCCCGCGGGCGCGGCGCTGGCCCTTGCGAGGGCCCCGGGCGGGGCGGCGGCGGCGGAAGCGGCGGATCTCGCTCGCGGAGTGGGAGGTGCTGCTGGAGCTGCTGCGTGCGGCCTCGAGCGCGCCGGCCTGGCTGGCGGTGCCGAGCCACGGCGGCGTGGGCCGAGGCGCGCACGGGCGAAGGCGCAGGCGGAGGCGGCGAGGGCGGCGGCGGAGCTGGGCACGGCGCTCGCGGGAGCGGCGCCTGCTGGCGGCGGAGCTGCTGCCGACTGCCTCCTTCGGCAGGCGCCTGGCTACGGGCCTCAGCTCAGCGTGCAGCTTCGGCAGATGCTGGAGTCCGTGAGCTGGAGGCCCGCCAGCGCCGTGTGAGCTGGGGAGTGCCTACGGTGGTCTGGGCCTTTTCAGGCTCGGCACGGGGTGGATGGTGGCTCGCGTGGCTGCCTCACCTGACGGCGCACACCCAGGCAGCGTGGCGAGCGCGCTGCAACTTGGAGGCCGCTGTTTGCGGTGCCTCCTGGCCGCATTTTGCGGCTCTCGCCTTCTTGGCGGCGGGATCGGCTCGCGCCGCACGGGCTGCCTGGTGTGTACAAAAATGTGGCTCTAATCCGCAATGTTTTATGTACGTCTGTTGCTATATATTGCGCCTCTCCTGGGGCACGAAACCTTCCTAGGAGGTCCCAGGAGGTCCCAAGAGGCTCCTGGAGACCCCAGGAAGCCCCAGTAGGTTTCAGGAGGCCCCAGGAGGCCCCAGGCTCATGCACAGAGACGCGCTCGTACTACTGAGGCTCATTCACACTCCAATTCATTCGCAGTTAGATTGATGTCCAGACCGTCACAACTGAAGCCCGTTAATATTCGAAAGCTCTTGCGCCTAGACATTCACGGCGGACAGGTCCATGCGAGTAGATGCACATATGGGGAGCTCCACGCGGTGAATAATTATTCACTGTCTTGCCGATCGGCGCGGGCCCTCGCACTTCCCCCCAAGGAGTAGATCTTGGCCGTTTCTGGTGCCTGTTTCAAGCAGGAGGAGTCTCCCCCGTAGGACGCACTGTTGCAATTAGTCGCATGGAGCGAAGGTCCAGAGCCAGACCCCCCCCCCTCCCCCCCCCCCTCACCCTCAGCCAAATGTCGAAACTCCGAATAAGATAACGTTTACTTGATCCATGCTCTCGTGGCCACGTTCCGACTCCAACTACATCGCTCTCAAGGGGGGCCCCACCCTCCTCGGGCCAGCTGTCGGCCAGTCCCGTCATCGTGGTCGTGGTCGTCGTCGTGGTCGTGGTCGTCGTCGTCGTCGTCGTCGTCGTCGTCGTGGTCGTCGTCGTCGTCGTCGTCGTCGTCGTCGTCGTCGTCGTCGTCGTGGTCGTCGTCGTCGGCGTCGGCGTCGGCGTCGGCGTCGGCGTCGGCGTCGGCGTCGGCGTCGGCGGCGGCGGCGGCGGCGTCGGCGTCGGCGTCGGCGGCGGCGGCGTCGGCGTCGGCGTCGTCGTCGTCGTGAGCGGCGTCAGGTGGACGTGGCCGCCACCCGCAGGGGCGCCACCCACGAGAGCTGAAGCCTCGCCGAGGCGCCGCGGTCCAGCCGCCGCCCTCGCCGCCGCCAACTTGCCGCGCTCCGCCGCCGCCGCCGTGGCCGTCGGAGGGTCGCCGCGGCGAGCCCGTGGCCTCCGCCGCCGACGCCCGACGTTGGCGCCGCCGCCAGCGCCCGGCCCTGGCGCCGTCGCCGCGTCGAGGGCGTAGAGCGTGTAGAGCGTGAGGGCGACAAAGATGAGGCCTGGGAGGAGGAGGAGGAGGAGGACCTGGAGGAGGAGGAGGAGGACCTGGAGGAGGAGGAGGAGGAGGAGGAGGAGGAGGAGGACGACGACGACGACAACGAGATGGAGGAGGGAGGGCTGCGCCTGTTAGCGGTACTAGAGCCCGCAGCGACCAGCGAACAGATGGAGGAGGAGGAGGAGGAGGAAGCGGATGGGGGAGGACGACGATGACAACGAGATGGAGGAGGGAGGGCTGCGCCTGTTACAGGTGCCAGAGCCCCGCAGCGATCAGATGGAAGATGAAGAGGAGGAGGAGGAGGAGGACCAGTGGAAACCCCAGAGTCATCAACGATGTTGGAATTAACCCTCCCTCCAAGCTCCCTCTTCTAGGCCCCTACAATGGTTCATTTCCATTGAGGGAACTGCCTCGTTGGAAGACAACCGTTTGAAGATCCTGAAGCGTGCCAAAACATTGTTCTCGGGATTTCAACGTCACGTATCAGACTGACTGCTGCGTCTTGACGATCCAGAATCGTGCCAGAACGCCATTTTTGACACATCAGCACCGCGAACCAATATACCTGTTGCACCCGCATAATCTTGAATCCTTCAAACACACCGTTTCTGGTACGTGGCCCATGGGAATCCGTGGCACTCTTGCAAACATTTAAAACGAATGTGCGCGGCGCTAAGGCGAGAGCCACACTTTGAAAAGGAGCCGCCTTAAGTCCGTGAAACTCTTGCAATTGTTTAAAACGAACGCGCGTGGCGCGAAGGCGAGACCCACATTTTGAAAATGGCCCGCCCTCGATCCGTGAAGCTCTTGCAAATGTTTACACGAACGTGCGCGGCGCTCAGGGGAGGGCCACATTTTGAAAACCACCCGCCCTGAATCCGTGAAGCGCTTGCAAAATTCTAAAAAGAATGTGCGCGGCGCCAAGGCGAGAGCCACATTTTGAAAACGACCCGCCCACAATCCGAGAAGCGTTTGCAAATTGTTCAACGAATGTGCGCGGCGCTAATGCGAGAGCCACATATTGAAAACGACCCGCCCTGAATCCGTGAAACTCATGCAAATGTTTAAACGAGTGTGCGCGGCGCTGAGGCGAGAGCCTCATTTTGAAAACACTCGCCCTCAATCCGTGAAGCCCTTGCAAATGTTTAAACGAATGTGCGCGGCGCTAAGGCGAGAGCCATATTTTGGAAACCACCCGCCCTGAATCCGTGAAACTCATGCAACTATTTAAAACGAATGTGCGCGGCGCTAAGGCGCGAGCCACATTTTGAAAGCGAGACGCCTTCCATCTGTGAAACTGCTTTCTTTTTAAGCTTCAGAGTCCTAATGATGGGGAGGTCTCAGGCGAAACGCCCGGCCCGCCCTAAAAACTTGCCTCGGGGTGCGACAGGGAGGAATTATTTATACGGAGAAGGAATGGAGGACCAGTGTAAACCCAAGAGTCATCAACCATGTTGGAGTTAACCCTCCCTCCAAGCTCCCTCTTCATAGGCCCCTACAATGGTTCATTTCCATTGAGGGAACTGCCTCGTTGGAAGACAGCCGTTGGAAGACCCTGAAGCATGCCAAAACATTGTTCTCTGGATTTCAACGGATCAACCTGATTGCTGCGTATTGACGATCCGGAATCGTGCCAGAACGCCATTTTGAGACATCAACTCCGCGAACCTATATAATCATTGCACCCGCATAATCTTGAATCATTCCAAAAAATTTCAAAAAAACCATCTCTGGTAAGTGGCCCATGGGGACCCATGACACTCTTGCAAACATTTAAAACGAATGTTCGCCGCGCTAAAGCGAGAGCCTCACCTTAAAAAGCACCCGCCCTGAATCCGTGAAGCGTTTGCAAATGTTTATTACGAATGCGCGTGGCGCTAAGGCGAGAGTCATACTTTGAAAACGACCCGCCCTCAATCCGTGAAGCTCTTGCAAATGTTCGAAATAAAATGAATGTGCGCGGCGCTAAGGCGAGAGCCACATTTTCAAAACCACCCGCCATCAATCCGAGAAGCTCTTTCAAATGTTTAGAACGAATGTGCGCGGCGCTGAGGCGAGGGCCATATTTTGAAAACGACCCGCCCTCAATCCGTGAAAATTCTGCAATTGTTTTAATCGAGTGTGCGCGGCGCTTGGGGAGAGCCAAATTTTGGAAACCACCCGCCATCAATCCGTGAACTGTTTGCAATTGTTTAAAACGAATGTGCGTGGCGCTAAGGCGAGAGCCACATTTTGAAAACAATCCGCCCTGAATCCGTGTAACTCATGCAAATGTTTAAAACGAATGTGCGCGGCGCTAAAGCGAGAGCCACATTTTGAAGACGACCCGCCCTGAGTCCGTGAAACTCATGCAAATGTTTAGAACGAATGTGCGCGGCGCAGGCGAGAGCCACATTTTGAAAACGACCCGCCATCAATCCGAGAAGCCTTTGCACATGTTTAAATGCACGCGGCGCTAAGGCGAGGGCCACATTTTGAAAAACACCCGCCCTCAATCCGTGAAGCGTTTGCAAATGTTTAAAACGAATGTGCGCGGCGCTAAGGCGAGAGCCATCTTTTGAAAACGACCCGCCCTCAATCCGTGAAATTTCTGCAACTGTTTTAATTGAATGCGCGCGGCGCTAAGGCGAGAGCCACATTTTGAAAACCACCCGCCTTCCATATGCGAAACTGTTGCCACTTCTTAATCGTCAGTGTCATAGATGGTGAGGAAGTCAGGCGAAACGCCTGGCCCGCCCCAAAAACTGGCTTCGGGGTGCGACATGGAGAAGTTAGTTAGAAGGAAAAGGAATGGAGGAGGAGGAAGAGGAGGAGGAGGAGGAGGAGGGGAAGAGGAGGAGGGAAGGAGAGAGGAAGGGAGGGATGGAGGGAGGGAGGGGGGAGGAGGGAGGGAAGGAGGAGGGAAGGAGGGAGGGAGGGAGGGAGGGAGGAGGAGGGCGGAGGAGCCGGAGGAGGATAGAGGGAGGGAGGGAGGGAGGGAGGGAGGGAGGGGGAAGAGGAGGAGGAGGAGGAGGAGGAGGAGGAGGAGGAGGAGGAGGAGGATTTTGGCGGACGTGGGGGATGAAGCACCTGATACCGGGGCTTTCCCTAGGCCTCCTAGGTCCACACCTGGGCCTTCCCCTGGCCAACCCGAGGCCTGCCCCATGGCTCGCCCCCCAGGCTTACCTCAGGCCTACCTACCAACCTCAGGCCCACCATAGACATGCCCCTAGGCCTTTCCCTCAGGCCTACCCCATGGCCCTTCCCGTCGGCCTGCCCCTAGGCCCTTCCCTAAGGCCCAGTCTAGGCCCACCCTAGGCCTGTCCCGACGGCCTCCCCGCTCCCCCTCCCTTGTCGCCTTCGCCTCCCCAGTCCTTTCCCCTCCTGCTCCTCCCCACCTGCCCGGAGGATTCCAAACTTCCAGTTTGGACGTCGAGCTTATTGAGCGAAGCACGTTCCACAACCATGGCAAAACGCATCCAGGATGGAGGCCGAGCCTTCGTTTTGAATGTCTTGATCCTCGCGGAAGTCGGTCGTCTGGGTCCCGGGGCTGCTGCGGCGGTCCCCCTCCCGCCCGCCAGGAGTGGGAGTACCTCCAGGACTTCTGGGACTGCATCGCCAGCTCTCCCGAGACCGAGAAGGCGTTGCCTTCTTTCTCTTCTCCGCAGGAGGCGCACGAGGAGGAGGAGGAGGAGGAGGAGGAGGAGGAGGAGGAGGTGGAGGAGGAGGTGGAGGTGGAGGAGGAGGAGGAGGAGGTGGAGGAGGTGGAGAAGGGAGGAGGGAGGAGGGCTGCTCTGGCACCTGCAGCCGCGCAGTGGGCATAGGGCAAAGGGGAGCCCTCCCTCCTCTGCCTTCCCCTGATATCCCTCGTTCCTCCACCTCTCCCTCCGCTCCCTACCCCCTTTACTGAATCGCTTCGCGCGTTCCGCCAGTCCATCCTGTAGCATCGTTGGGACTTGCCCGTGTGTTCGTGGCCGTTGTGGCATTGTTGGGCGGCGGTAGTTTCCTCGAGGCGTTGCGTGAGATGTCGTGGAGAAGAAGCAATTACTGCGGAGAGTGTTGCGGGCCTCTTGAGAACCTTTGGGAGCCTCGTCGGGGCTTCTGTGGGCCTTATTGGGGCCTCTTGAGGGCCTCCCTCAGGCTTCTGGGGGCCCTTGGGCGGGTGCCTCGTGGTGGCTTGGGGCGGTTCGCAGCGTCCGAGGGGCTCATTAAGGCTTGCAGGCGATCTTCGAGAGTTCGCCTTCCCCTTCGCGGGGCTGTCTTGGGGGGTTCTTGGGCCGTCTAGGAGCCCTCTTGGGTCGTCCTGGGACCCTCTGGGGGGCCTCTTTGGCTCATGTGCCGTACTGAGGCGATCTCGTGTGCCTCCTGCGCCGCCTTGGGCTGGCGGGGGTCCCAAAGAGCAAGAACACGAGAGCACTGAAAGCTCGATGAAATCCATGTCTTACGCCTGTTGGTCCGTAGCCATTTCGGCTCAAGACGTGTCGGGCGCCCCCCGCGCGCCTCCAGCCGCCCCTCGTCATGCAGCGCCTCAAGGTCGTGACCGAGCACGTCGCGCCGGGCGGCGGCGAGGGGTCGGCGGGCACTCGGCCGCGGCAGGGCCCAGTGGCGGCGAAGGCGCACCACAAGAAGATCTGGTACGCGCCGTACAAGTTCGAGGCATACGGCGAAGAGGAGATCCAGGCGGTGGAGGCTTCCCTGCGAGATGGCTGGCTGGCGCCGGGGCCCCGGACCGAGCTGTTCGAGCAGAAGGTGGCGGCCATCTTCGGCAAGAAGTACGGCATCATGGTGAACTCTGGCAGCTCCGGCAACATGATCGGCCTGGCATGCCTCGGCCTCGAGAAGGGCGACGAGATTGTGACCCCTGCGTGCACCTTCTCGACAGCGGTGGCGCCGATCGAGCAGCTCGGCCTCAAGCCGGTGTTCTGCGACGTGACGCCCGACCGGTACGTTCCTGAGGTGGACGAGATCCTCAAGAGGATCACGCCAAAAACAAAGTGCGTCTTCATCCCCAATCTGGCTGGCAGCAAGATAGACTGGAAGGACCTGCGCGCCAGGATCCCAAAGGGCATCTATCTCTTCGAGGATTCGTGCGACAGCATCACCTACACCGCGGAATCGGACATCTCGGTCATATCTTTCTACGCGTCCCATATCATCACCGCCGGCGGCCTCGGCGGGGTCGTGATGTTCAACGACGAGAAGCTGAAGGACAGGGCCCTCATGTTCCGCGACTGGGGCCGGATCGGCAACAATTCCGAGGACATGTCCGAGCGGTTCGGCCACAGCGTGGACGGTATAGATTACGATTTCAAGTTCTTGTACGGTTGCGTTGGCTATAACATGAAGGCGTGCGAGATGAATGCTGCGTTCGGGCTTGCGCAGCTGGAGAAGTTGGACAGGTTCCGCTCCATGCGCGCCCGCAATATCAACCGCTACGTGGAGAACCTCAGGAAGGCGGGTGTGAAGTACGTCCTGCCCCAACAGCACGAGGAGTTCGACTGGCTCGCGTTCCCGCTGCTCTACCACGACCGCAAGGGCATCCTTCAGTATCTTGAGAGCAACGGCGTGCAGATCCGGGTGTTCTTTGCCGGCAACATCACGAGGCACCCTGCGTATCGCCAGTACCTGCAGTCCTTCCCAGGCTCCGACAGGGTCATGAAGGAAGGCTTCCTGATAGGTGCCCACCACGGCCTGGAGCTGGAGGACATCGACTACGTCTGTGAGCTGCTGATCGAGTACGACAAGAAGAACGGCGCAGTCTCCGCCGGGGCCGCCACCACGGACGTCAAGGAGAGGGACTCCATCAGCCTCGACCTGTGAGCTGGCCCCGCAGGCCACGGCGCCGAGCGCCCCGCCTCGCCCTCCGCGCTGCGCCGAGAGCGGGCGTCTGTCCCGGAGGAGATCGCCCAGGCGCTCGCGTTGGGGCCTGGCTGTCCAGATGCCCGTGCCCCCAGAGGCGGCGGTAGGGGCGAAGAGCCCAGGGGAGAGCAGTACACGTATTCAGGTGCGCCGATGATCTATATGGCTTCGAAGAGGCTCCCATGCGTGCAATGCCCTCCCCAGGGCTACGCGCCCTTGTCGTCGCCGCCGGCACTCCGAAGAACAAGAACCGCAGGCCCAGAGGTTGACACCAACACCAGCATGGGCGGTGTGCCTCCACCGAGGGAAGAGAAGATCCCGATCTCGATGATGGTAATCATATTCTGGCTTCGAAGGTGGCCGAACTATTACCACCAACACCGAAATCAAGCATCATCTTCCCCCTGTGGAGGCAACCCCCTGCGTTGGTGTTGGTGCCCATTTCCAGGCCTCCAAGAGAACTGCACAGAAGCACAAGTTCTCGGAGGTCCGCGCGGATCTCTTGGATCGGCGCCGGGCCCCTGGCGGCGTCTCTGGCGCCGCCCCTGGCGCGCTGCGCCGATTCTGGAATCCGCGCGGACCTCCAATGAGTTATGTTGATGCGGTTTTCTGTTCCTCGGGTCCCGGGCCACGCTCGATGCTGTGGAGGCTCGTCGCAGTTCCCAGCTGTTGTGCTACAAGTGCTGCTCTCCTCCTGGTGGTGCCGCCATTGCACACAGCCTAGGCAATCATTGCCGCAAGCTTGTCCCAAGTCCTCCATTGCGGGCTAGCCATATCGATGCTGGTGTTCGCGCTGGTTGCGATTTATTTTCCGATGGCCAGCCTAGTCTCGTTGGGGAGGTCAAGCGAATGTAGATCTCCCGAATTCGCTTGAAATCCACCCCAATTGTCTGAACATTTTTCATCGCGCGAGACCCCGTGCGATTGGCGGCCGTGCGCGTTGGCTTACACAGTAGCCGATGCGTTTCTCCCATCCGCGCGTGACAATCGGCCTCATCTTCGCTTGCGGTACCAGACCTTACAGTCAACCATGATAGTAAGGATGGGGGGAAGCCCTTGCATCTTCGCCTCCTCGGTTCATCCTTCGCCGCTTTCGCTTGCAGCGCCCCGCTCGAAAAGCTTCGAAATGGGCGTCCAAGGCCCTGGCATCCTTCTCGCGCATCCTTACTATACTGGTTGACTGTATCCCCATAGAGGAGAGACGAGAAGCCAGGCGTCCAACATTTCGCTGCACAACTCTCGCTATAGCTGTAGGGCCCCCGGGGAAGCCTCCCAGGGGCGCCAGGCCGCCGCTGCGTCGCGCGGGGGGAGAAAACAAACATGACCTGTGCCTGTTGGGCCGTCCTTTGGCATCGTTTATCCCATCCCCATCCCCATCCTCATCCCCTTCGAGACCCCCACTAAATTACCCCCCCAGTTGGGGATACGCCCCTCGAAACCCGACGGGAACGGCCTATATCCCCATCTAGGGGGGTAAATCTGCCAGTGGGGCCCAGGCCACGCCGCTGGGGATGGGGATCGGGTAAACTATACTCATGTTGGGCCGTCCTAAAGCGCTCTTGGGCTGTCCTGAGGCCATGCTGGGCCGCCCGGGAGCTCCTTCTCGCTTGGCATCGCTCGGACGTGTAAGTTTTTGTCGGCGAGGAGCATCGAGGAGCATTTTGCATCATCTTGCGGGACAAAAAGAGCACGAAGCCGAAACATGCACGGGGAAAGGAGGTCCGAGCGAGCGCGGGTTGGGGACGCGCCTGCCCGCGCCCAGGAGTTGTGGCATCTCTGGGTGTGGATTGGCAAGGGACCTCGCCGCGTTGTTCTGTCCTCTGAGAGTCCCCAGCCGCTTCCTGCGCACGCGGTTGGAGCGACACACAAACTCACAGGAAGGCGGGTCGACCGGAGGTTGATAGACCTCTTACCTTGACGCGTCAATTAACGAGCTGGCCGCTTTCGGTTCGCGAGAGGGCGCCGCGGCCGTCATTGTTGCGGGTCCAGGTCCGTCGGCTGCAGTCTTGGGCCGCTTTCACTAAGAAGGGTGGTTTGCTAAAGGGACCACCGCCGAGTGGAGACAGCGGCAGTTGGCCCTCCGGGGAGGGGGACGGCCTTCGTCGCCGCGCTTGGAGGCAGCTCGGCAGAGCGGTGCGTTTTGGGCCCCGGGAGGGGTCCGGGGACGGATTTGGGGCTGCCGTCGTCTCAGCTCGCCCTGTTCCGCGCGCGCGCGGCTCAGTGATCTACAATCTCTGGGCCTCCCAGATGGGGTCCGAGGATCGCGCCGCATCGGCGATGCATCGGTGATGCGGCGCGATGTGGAGCCCGATGTTCTCGACGCCAACGGCGCCGACGCAACGCCGACGTCTCTGATGCAGCGGTGATGCATCGACGATGCGCTGCGATCCACCCCACCTGCTCCGACCCCGTCTGGAAGGCCTCTACAAACATTCTGAACCTCTTACCTGCTCCCTCAAACTGGTTCCGCCTGCTATCTGTTAGCAGCCCGCGCATCTTGTCGTGCTTGAGCCTTTTCTGGCTTGAGGGATGTGTCCGTTCTGAGCGCCGAGAGACGTAATTATGAGCCCCCCCACCCACGTGCAAAGCACCGCTACTCAGCACACCCGAGGAACTTGAGCAGCTTGTTGATTTCAGTTTCCGGCACTGTCCGACTCGTGTTCGTGATGAACGGCCGCCTTGCCCCACGCTTTCTCGATCCCTTCACACTCATCCCTCGGTCCTGTTGCCGCTCCTCTTCCTCCTCCTCATCCTCCTCCTTACCTTAACCGCCCTCCCCTTCCTCTTCTGGCCCCCACGCCTAACGGGCCCGCAGCGCTTCCGAGTCGGCTCGAGAAGTGTCGAGCGCCAGGCCACACTAAGCTGGCTAAGGAGGTAAATTTGCAGAGACATGATGGCGCTCGTGCACAGCGCATCGTCTGATCTGATCTGCTACGGATTCCTGCTTCTCTCTCTTCTGCTTCGGCTTCTCTCATCGGTCCTTCTTGCGCATCCCTGTCCCCTCCCGTGCTCCTTCTCGGGCTTCGGACCCCGTGTTTTTTCATGCGTTTTTTCCTGCACGACGCGGGCCCCTGGAGGCCTCCAACACTCCACGGCAACGACAACAGCGGTGGCAACGACAGCAACGACGGCGATTGTGGTGATCGTTGTGGTCGTCGTCGCCGTGGTCGTTGTTCTCTCGTGGTCGTTGCTGTTACCCTGCAGGGGGCCCGCCGCTGCTCCTCCCGGCGGGCCCTGATTGTTGGCGGCCCCCGAGGCCCCTGGGGAGGGCCGCCGACGACCGTGGAAGCCTCCCGTCGCCAGGCTTCCACGGCGCCGGCGGAGGGCGGAGGAAGCGAGCGGGGGCTGCTGGGCGACGAGGTTCCTCCTCCTCCTCCTCCTCCTCCTCCTCCTCCTCCTCCTCCTCCTCCACAATTACTCAATATGAATATACTCTCCCTCTTCCCCTGATGGCGTCTGGGTGATGGCCGCGCACCCTCCGCGTACTGTTTTTTTACACACAGGATGCCCGGGAAATCCCGGGAAACGACTCTCGCTGAGGCGCCGGCGTCATTTTTTCCCAAAATGCTGCTTTCGCGCCGGCGTCATTTTTTCCCCAAATGCTGCTCTCGTTGAGGTGCCGGCCTCATTTCTGCTCCCGAATCCTTCCCCTGATGGCGTCCGGGTGATGGCCGCGCACCCTCCGCGTACTGTTTTTTTTTACACAGGATGCCCGGGAAATCCCGGGAAACGACTCTCGCTGAGGCGCCGGCGTCATTTTTTCCCAAAATGCTGCTCTCGTTGAGGCGCCGGCCTCATTTCTGCTCCCGAATCGTTCCGAATCGTGCTCCCGCTGCAGCGTGGGCCTCATTTTCGGATCGGTGTTTGGCCTCCGTCGTTCAGGATGGCGTTCTCGCCCCAGCGCGGGCCTTTTTCTCGCGCGCCCATCCGCCCGCCACCACCGCGCCGCACCGCCACCACCACCACCCACCACCACACCACACCACCACCACCACCACCACCACCACCACCACCCACCACCAGCACCAGCACCAGTACCAACACCACCACCACCAGCACCACCACCACCACCACCACCACCACCATCACCACCACCACCACCACCACCACCACCACCAGCACCAGCACCAGTACCACCACCACCACCACCAGCACCACCACCACACCACCACCACCACCACCACCACCACACACCACCACCACCACCACCACCACCACCACCACCACCACCACCACGACAACCACGCACACACGCACGCACGCACGCACGTGCACCACCACCCACTACGCACGCGCGCGCGGAGCCACAGGTCCGCTACGACACGCGTCCGCGGATAGAGAAAATCAGCGCCATGGTAAGGGATGGGAGGGAGGGGTAGGACGTTAGATATGACGCGAGCGCACCTAGCTTGCCCTCCTCCCCCTCCTCCTCCTCCCCCTCCTCCTCCTCCTCTTCTGGCTGCTGCTACTGCTCCCCGTCCTTCGCCGCCGCCCCTGGCCGGGCCCAGGCGGGGCCCAGGATCGCGGCGCCACGCGAGGCGTTTCGAAGAGGGCCTTGCCTTCGAGGATCGCAGGAATTTGGCCATCTCAGTGCCTCCTCGGCGGAAGGCGGCGCGGAGGGTCGGCGGCAGAGTAGAGCGAGGCCGCCTCCGCCAGCGGAAGGCTGCGGAAGGCTGGCGGAAGGCGGCGGACGTAACAAGTGTTTTTCCCAAGAGATGAATGATGGGCCTCTTTTTCCATCACCACCATCACCAGAAGTTGGAGGGGGAGGGGGTCCTCCTCCTGCTCCTCCTCCTCCTCCTCTTCCTCGCCCTCCTCCTCCTCGTCCTCCTCCTCCCTCCCCCCTCAAATTTATGGTGGTGGTGGTGGTGGTGGTGGTGGTGGTGGTGGTGGTGGTGGTGGAAAACGCGCCCATCATGATAACGTTTTTGGCTTCAGGGTTTCCGGAATCCGCCTCCCAGTGGTCCAGCTGGGGAGGCGCGTGCGCAGCTCCTTGGGCCCAGGAGGCGCCCGATGCAGGGCGGCGGAGGTGTGCATGGGCCTCGCCGCCCTACCCTTCCGTCGGGCGCGTCCCCCTGCAGGAGGAATATGCAAAGATAGTGCAGAAATAGTCCAGGGACGATTTTCCTAGTATTTTTGTTGGCTATTTCTGCATATGCTTGATTGTTCGGATTTGTCTTGCTAAATCCGCCTGCAGGGGGACATGCCCGACCTATCCCGACCCTGAGATCCGACGTCCCGAAAGCAGCAACGAGCACTTTTTACGTCGCGGCTCGGCAGAGGCGATCCGCAAGCGCGCTCTGGCAGCCCGGGGCGCTTGGCGTCCTGGTGAGCCGGCGGCGAGACAGGGAGGGAGGAGGAGGGCGGCCGCAGAAGGCAGGGGGGGAGGATGGCATGCACTGCGGGGAAAGAGTTTCGGCAGGAGTGGCCTGAGCGGCCAGCCTCTGCTGGGGCGACCCGCGACAGAATCACGACCAGTGCTCCAGACCCCATCTTGCCGCGGCGCTCTTCGAGCCGGATCGATCCGTGCTGGTCCTGGGTCCCGAAGCCGAGCGCGACGGCGCCGCGTGTGAGCAGAGTGTGGCACCCGGATCTCAGGGCACAAGCGGGTCCCGCAGGACTTGAACCTGATCGTCGACAGGAACGGCGTCGACGACGAGCGGCGTCCCACCGCGCACACGTGCTTCTGTCAGGCGATCGCAAACATGGATCAATGGGGGCGCGGATTAGCGACGGGTTCCCGCTTCCATGGGAAGTCGCGGATTGCCGCCGCCGAGCGAGGCGGCACCGGCCGCATTTTGGGGAGGGCACCTCCCCCGATCCATGGATTCGGCGACCGCGCGCCAAATCCACGGATCGCTGATCCATGTTTGCGCGCCCCCGATTCTGCCGGCTGCTGCTGCCACGGTCTCCGGGGGGGGAAGGGGCCTTGTTCGGGGAAACGGAAGGCTCGAGTTCGCCAGAGTGCCGGGTTCGCCGCCGCTTTTTGAGACGAGCCCGTCGTGGACTCGAACGCTCCCCCGTTGTCGTGGGGTGCTTGCCGCGGGAGCTCGCGTCAAATTTCAGACGGGGTCTCGTCATTTTCCTGGCGGCCCCGTCAGGCCAGCCCACGTCCTCCGAACCCGAGACTCACGTCTCTCCGACCCGTGCGGCAGGAGGCACGCGACGCCGCGCAGTGGGGCAGACCGCAGCACAACCCGTGGCGTAGGGCTGGCAGCCACGCGGCACCGAATGAGGGGGGCGGGACGAATACAGTCGGACCGAGGCACAAGGTCGAGGTCAGTTCGGGGAGGGTGCCCTAGAGTGCTCTTCGTGTGTGTGTGTGTGGCATGTTTATGTGCGTTCCTGGGGGGAGGGTATTCCCTGGATGTTCTGATGTGTGTTATGCCTGCTGTGGCCGGCGGAGGGTGGCCTGTTCTCGAGGGATGTCCTTTCGGGCCCAGGCTCGACTGTTCCGGAGCGCGCTCTCCTACGCTTTGGGGGCGCCGTCTTCCGTAGCCGTTTTGGCTTAATCCCATTTTGGCCCGAGCGCCACCAGGTCCTGGCCTGGAGTCGGGCACGTCCCTCTACAGGAGGAATATTCAAACAAAGAAGAACAAATAGTCTGGGGACTAATTTTTTGGTATTTTGAGTATTTAAAGATACTTCTGAGTACTTCTAAGTTTTCGCCCAAAATCCCCCTGTGGGGAGACAGGCCCGAAATAACTCTGGCCGAGGACGCACCCCGCGGGAGCACGGCCCGGGGCGATGCTGACACAAAGTCGGGCGCCCGGGCCCGCCGGGGAGGCGGCCGAGCCGCCGGCGAGGCACGGCGGCCCGGGGGCCGTGGAGACGGTGGTCTGGGCCTCCCAGGTGGGCTGGGAGCCTGGCGGGGTCGGAGGATGGCGCCGCATCGCCGATGCATCGCCGATGCGGAGCCTGATTTTCTTCACGCGGACGTCGCCAATTGCATCGGCGACGTCGCCGATGTATCGTTGATGCATCGCCGATGCATCGCCGATGCATGGCCGATGTATCGGCGATGCGGCGCGATCCTTCGACCCCATCTACTCCGATCCCATCCAGGAGGCCTCCAGGTGGTGCCGTTCTACGTGGACCTGGGGCTCGCCCAGGCGAGCAGCGTCGCGCACTTCCGCGGGCAAGGTGTCTATCCATGCTCACGGCGTCTCGGATGTTTGGGGACCGAAAGAGCCCGAGGCGCAGTGGATCTGGGTAGAGATCGGGCCTCTCTGGGGGCCAGATGTCTATCCATATCCACGGCTTCTTGGACTTTCAGCCCCAAGCCCGAGACGCAGTGGACATGGATAGAGATCGGGCCTCTCTAGAGGCCAGATTTCTATCCATAATCGTACCGTTTCGTATTTCTCTGGAGGGGAGTCCAAGCATCCCAGCCTCAGGTGAGCGTTTCCTTATTCATTGTTTTGCCGATCGGCGCGGGCCCTCGCACCCCCTCCCCCTCCCAAGGAGTAGATCTTGGCTGTTTTTGTCGCCTGTCTCAAGCAGGTGGAGGCTCCCCCACAGAACGCACCGTTGCAAACAGTCGCACTAGGCAGAGGTCCAGAGCCAGACCGCCGCCCTTCCCCCTCCTTTCCGCCCAATGTCGAAACGCCGAATCAGAGAAGGATCACCAGTGGAAATGAGTATACATCTTGCTCGCACTTTCCGGGCCTGCTCTCCGCCGCGGACCTGGAGGCGGTCCTGGCGTGCCACGCCGCCGCGGCGGCGGCGGGCGACGCCTTGGAGCTCAACCCGCAGAACCGCACCCACAGGCACAAGAGCTCGGCTGCAACTCCCGGGAGGCTGCAACTTTCGAGCAGGGGGTCGACTACAGAATTGGTTTACCCCAAAATTGAGTTCCTCGTCGAATCCACAGGAAAAACGTAGCTTGTTTCATGGTTTCGACGAAGAAAATGGGGTAGATCAATTCTGCAGTCGATCCACTACTCAAATTTGGCATCGGCGCCCGCATTCCTCTTCCCATGCTGTTGCGCGCCTGGAAAGGGGGGGGGGGGGGGGGGGAAACCGCCCCCCCCTCCCCCAATAAAAAAGGAGACCCCCCCTGCATCCGTGGCCCAAGGGGCCCCCCAGACGCCCCTGCATGAGGGCCCCCCATGCATTCTGGAGCTCCTGGAAGCCCCTGCTGGGCCCAGAGCGGGCTCCAATTGGCCAGGAGGGCGGCCGAGGGCTCCAAGAGGCCCCAGACACCAGACGCCCGAAGATGACCCAAGGAAGACCCCCAAGAGGTCTTCCAAACAGAAGAATGTTTGATCTCGCATTGGTTCTTTTCTGATTTTGGGAATGATTTGTTCTTAGGTCGTCTGGGCGTAGGAGACCGCCCAGGATACCCGAAAATCGCACCAAAAGTACCCGGAAAGGCTTCCCGGCACTCCACGAGAGCCCCGAGACGGCCCAACAGGATGGCCCGGAGAGAGCCCCATGACGGCCCAAGATTGCCCCAAGAAGCCCCCAGAAGCATTCCAAATCGTGACCCGGTCGTTCAGGGAGACCGCGGTTGGAAACAGGGTGGTTTGAGGAAGCCCCCGGAGGCCCCCAGAAGGCGGCCAGGAGGCCTCAACAAGGCCCCAAGAAGCATTTGAAATGGTTCGTGAGGCCCCCAAGAGTCTCTCCAAGGAGGAGACTCAGCAAAAGGAGCCGGGGAGGATGGGGAATAACTCGCAGGGTAATTAGGGCGAGCACGTGGAAGAGGAAGAGGAGAAGTGAGGAAAGGAGAAGAAGTCATAGTATCATAACGACGGCGTCGGAAAGTGGAATAAGGAGTTATCGTCATATTGACAGATTTACCTTCCTGCCTTTCCGTTTGCATGCCAAATTTGAATGATCAAGGTGCGCAGGGCGAAGCGTCAATGTTGCGTGTATGTATGTATGTATGTATGTATGTATGTATGTATGTATGTATGTATGTATGTATGTATGTATGTATGTATGTTTGTATATGTGTATGTGTGTATGTGTGTATGTATGTGTGTACGTATGTGTGTATGTATGCACGCACATACATATACATACACATACACATGCATATACGTATACATTAATGCATGCATGCATACATACACACCTACATACAATCATGCATGCAGATATGCACGCATGCATACATACACATGCATACATACAAACATACATACATTGATGCATGCACGCATACATGCATACACACATACATACATGCACACATACATACATACATACATACATCCATGCATGCATGCATGCATGCATGCATGCATACATACATACATACATACATACATACATGCATACATGCATACATGCATACATGCATACATGCATGCATGCATGCATGTATGCATGTATGCATGTATGCATGTATGCATGTATGCATGCATGCATGCACACATACATACATACATACATACATACATACATACATGCATGCATGCATGCATACATACATACATACATACATGCAGATAAACAGACAGACAGACAGACAGACAGACAGACAGACAGGCAGACATACGAAAGAGCGCGTTCTGTGGTCGCTTGAGGGGGGGGGGTTGGCACCCCCCTCCTGAATGGAGGGGGGGGGGTTCGAACCCCCCCCTCCCGTAACGGAGGGGGGGGATTTCACCATCCCCCCCCCCACACCCCAACTTTTCCTCTCTCCCTTTCCTCGGGCCGGCGGCTGCGTCGGCGGCGGCTGGCGGCGGCGGCGGGGGCGACGACTGTCTTTTCTGGGCCAGCGCCAGCGCCTGCGGCGGCGGGCGGCGGCGGCGGGAAGCGTCGACGAGGACGACGGCGACGACGATGACGACGACGACGACGCTCCGCCACCGTGCCTTGGTTTTGGATCAGAGTCCTAATGGATGCCTCTTGGGGTCTCGTCGGAGGGCTCTCGGGGGTCTCTGAAGGGCATTTGTGAAGCCTCCTGGGCGCCTCTTGGGCGTCTCTCGGGGCCTCTCGGTGGTGGTGGTGGTGGTGGTCGTGGTGGTGGTGGTGGTTGTGGCGGTGATGGTGGTGGCGGTGGTGGTGGTGGTGTGGTGGTTGGTGGTGGTGGCGGTGGTGGTTGTGGTGGTTTGGGTGGCAGGTTGTAGTGGTGGTTGCGGGGGTGGCGGTGGTGGTGGTGGTGTGGTGGTGTCTGGTGGTGGTGGTGAAGGTAGTTGTGGTGGTGGTGAGTTAAGGTGGTGGCGGTGGTGGTGTGGTGGTTTGTGGTGGTGGTGGTGGTGGTAGCGAGTGGGTTGCGGTGGTGGAAATGGCGGTGGTGGTGGTGGTGGATGTGATGATTGTGGTGGTGGTTTGTTGTGGTGGTGGTGGTGGTGGTGGTGATGGGTGGTGCTGGTGGTGGTGGTGCTGGTAACGGTGGTCGTGGCGGTGGTGGTGGTGTGGTGGTTTGTAGTGGTGGTGGTGGTGGGGTGGGTTGTGGTGGTGGTGGCGGTGGTTGTGCTTGTGGTGGTGGTGGTGGTGGTGTGGTGGTTTGTTGTGCTGGTTGTGGTTGTGGTGGTGGTTGATGGTGGTTGTGGTGGTTTGGTGGCGGTGCGGTGGTGGTTTGTGGTGGTTGTGGTGGGTTGTTGTGGTGATGGTAGTGGTGGCGGTGGTGGTGGTGGTTGTGGTGTGGTGGTTTGGTGTGCTGTTGGTGGCGGTGGTGGTGGTGGCGGTTGTTTGTGGAGGTGGTGCTGGTAGTGGTGGTGGTGGCGATGGTGGTGGTGGTGTGGTGGTTCGTGGTGGTGGTGCTGGTGGTGGTGGTGCTTGTGGTGGTGGTGGCGTAGTGGTGTGGTAGATTGTGGTGGCGGTGGTGGGTTGTGGTGGTGGTGGTGGTGGTGAGTTGTTGTGGTGGTGGTGGTGGCTGTGGTGGTAGTGGTTGTGTGGTGGTTTGATGGTGGTGGCGGGTTGAGATGGTGTTGGTGGTGGTATTGGTGGTGGCGCTGGTGGCGTTGTGGTTTGTGGTTGTGTTGTTGCTGCTCGTGGCGGTGCTGGTGGTCGTGGTGGGTGGTGCTGGTTTGTGGTGGCGGTGGTGGTGGGTACTGGTGGTGGTGGCGTGATGGTTTGTGGTGGTGATGGTGCTCGTAATGGTGTGGTGCTTTTTGGTGATGGTGGTGATGGTGATTGTGGTGGGTTGTGGTGATGCTGGGGGTGGTGGCGTTTTTGGTGGTGGTTGTGCAGTGGGTTGTGGTCATGGTGGTGGTTGTGGTGGTGGTGGGTTGTGGTGGTTGTGGTGGTGTTTGTGGTGGTGGTTGTGGTGGTGGTTGTGGTTGTGGCGGGTTTTGGTGATTGTGGTGGTGGTGGTTGTGGTGGTGGTGGTGTTGTGGTTTGTGGTGGTGGTGGTGTGGCCTTCGGCTCTTCCCGCCACCGTGTTTTGGCTTTGGGTCAGAGTTCTACTGGATGCCTCTTGAGATCACCCCCTGGTTATGGGAGGTTGACCCGGTAAGTGTTTTCAGGCCGGTTCAGTCGTCAACAGGGGGGGGGTTAGTGGTGGAACGTTCCCGCCGTCATTCATCGTTCCGGCGGGTGAATTTCGATCGGACCCCCCGTCGTTTCTCCCAAGTGGGGGTCTGCCTGCGCGCGATGTGTCAGTTGTCGCGTGTCCAACGAGAGTATCATCATTACTAGCACAGTGCTACAACCGTACAACAACTACTACAGTGCTAGAGTACGACTACTACTACTGTGTTGCCACAGTGCGACAGTACTAGCGTGATGCTACAAACCTAGAGTACTACAACACTAGAGTACCACTGTACTACTTCTACAGCCGTTCCTACAGGATTACCACGACTTCGACGATTACTACTACTACTACTACTACTACTACTACTACTACTACTACTACTACTACTACGACTACTACTACTACTACTACTACTACTACTACTACTACTACTACTACTACTACTACTACTACTACTACTACTACTACTACTACTACGACTACTACTACTACTACTACTACTACCTACTACCACTACTACTATTACTACTACTACTACTACTATTACTACTACTACCACTACTACTACTACAACTACTACTACTACTACTACTACTACTACTACTACTACTACTACTACTACTACTACGACTACTACGACTAAGTTCACTATTACGACGACTACTACTACCACGACTACTACGGCTACTACTACTACTACTACTACTATTACTACTACTACTACTTATTCTTCTTCTTCATACTACTACTACTACTACTACTAGTACTGCTACTGCTGCTACTACTACTACTACTACTACTACGACTACTACTACTACTACTACTACTACTACTACTACTACTACTACTACTACTACTACTACTACTACTACTACTACTACTACTACTACTACTACGACTACTACTACTACTACTACTACTACTACTACTACTACTACTACTACTACTAGTACTACTACTACTACTACTACTACTACTACTACTACTACTACTACTACTACTACTACTACTACTACTACTACTACTACTTACTACTACTACTACTACTACTACTACTACTACTACTACTACTACTACTACTACTACTACTACTACTACTACTACTACTACTACTACTACTACTCCTGCTCCTACTACTACTACGACTACTACTGGACTGGAGTACTTTGGTACGACTACAGGATTGTATTACAACGGCTGCAGCAATCGAGCGCCACTTCTACAGCAGTAGTACTACAGCGCTACAGTATCAGGGTACGGCTGCCGTACTTGAGTAGTGCAGTTTATGAGTACCACTACTCCAGCCAGTATCCGAGTACTATTACTACTACAGCACAAGAGTATCTA